GACAGATACCTAGATACCAGTAAGATGCCAATAACTACCACTTGATATTTGACCCCTATTTTAAATATATATTTTATATAGTGTCTGCTGTATAAACCTATCATTTGAATGACGACCAGAGCTAGTGAAAGAACGTCTGAAGGTATTATTTCACTCCAGTCCACTCCACCTCACTGTCCCTGCCATCTATCTCACTGTCCTCACTGTCAGGTATTTGCCCAGCAGACAAATCCTGCTCTTTAGTTATATAGAAGTAAAACTAAACAAATAAATACATGTTGCCCTTGTTCACAACGTTTCCCTGAGGCAACAAAAAGAAAAACTGCATTTCTAAACATGCAAAATAAAATATAAAGTCATAAACCTGACAAAAGACTTCTCTACACCTTCATACACACAAATATTTTTTAATTAAAGTCATTTTAAATAAGATTTCTAAAGCAAACAATCTCTCCTTCTTCTCACACCACCTGCTCCTATGACCAAGTGCCAGAAAAGGAAGTTCTGCCTTCAAATGGTCCTTCATAGTGACCATTCTAATTGGTTGCGATGATTTAAAGAAACATGTACTGGATATGGGGCTTAAGAAAACTTTCCGTTGCCTGAGGGCAATGCTGTGCTGTAGAGGCTGAAGCCTCTGTGTTGTTGATCTTGCATTGCATCACATTTTAGCCTGCTGGTTGTCAGCAGTAATTACTTCACAGTTCTTTTAATCTAACCTACACTCTAGCAGTGACATACAATTAGACAATCACCTAAATAACATTTTCAACTTTCAACAAAGCATAAGCAGTTATATAATCATCCATAATATGGAAATATTTGTAATTTACATTAGAAGGAAATACAATTCGACAACCTGCCCCTGTGTGTACTTAGAGACTGTCAAATAAGTTGAGTTTTAATAATGATTAAAAGAAAGATTTTTGGTATAAACATGATATGAAGATGAATAAATTGAATTGTTCTTCTGAGTGTCAAATAAATAATGAGATGGGTGTAACAGTCTTATGACTATGAGTCATTGGGAGAGAATCTTTGGCCCAACTGAATTTGGGGATGAACAATCAATGTGACAGTAGTCACGTAGACAGGAAAAGGGTGGTGGCTGAAAACTCAGCTATGCATGGAGTAGCATATATAAAGAGGAGTCAGAGAGAGATCACTGCAATTAAAATACCAGTAGTAGACACTGAATTTATTTCTTTACTAAGGTAGTAATTCATTAGGTGTGTTTAACATCTTTAAGGTTCTTATAGGTGTCAAGTGCACTGATCAATGAGAAGAGAGCTGTCATTAATGGGCATGACTGAGGTGGTATTTGGCTCTAGGGCTATTCAGTCAGGTGCCTTTTCAGAGTAAGCAGGGTAGGCGTTTGGAAGAAGACAGTTAGAAGCTAGGCGAATTTCTTCGACAACAGCTTAAACAGTTATACATAATAGGGTAATACCCATAGGCCTAGAGGATCGGACCCTTTAAGACGGAGAGCTGGCCCAGTACCTCCTGAACAGGGGTAACTCGGGATCTAACAAGACCCAGGCCTGTCTGTTCAGAGATCAAAAGTCAGCCTACACCATGCACCATAAACAAGCACTTGAGACGCAGACACCAGGTATTAAAGACACAGCGGGTGATCATAGGAATTTTTAGTGCCACCTAGTGATGAACCTTATCACAAATTTATGACAACCAATACCCTCATATTTCAAAAGAGTATTTCACAGATTCACTCATTTGGCTTCTTCTGGTCGAATGTTCTTCATGCAGATGTTGAACAGCATATCAGTTTTGTTAACAGGCCTCTTAAGTGACTTTCTAAGCATTGCTGTTCCTGCTACTAATCTCTGCGGTGCTTTCTGGGAGAGAGGGTGTTCCTCAGTGGCTCAGTGATTGTTACAGTTTTTCACAATTGCTAAGACACATTTCTTGAAATCTTCACCCATATTTTCAAAACTTTTTAAACTATATTCACAAAACCCCTGACTCTTCTGGCAAAACACTTGCCTCAAAAACATTTTACATGTACCCAAAATCAAACAATGATTTCAAAACATAAACACAGCCAATCAATAAATTTTTTTACATTTTGCATTCTTTAGACACTACATCATAAAACTGAGAACACAGTGTTCAGGGCATGTAGTGCAGTAAGCCCAAGTAAGAACAAAGAAAAACTATAAATGAAAAGCACTTTACACTCAAAAAATTTTGTGCATCTGCAAAATCAAACTCAATACAGTAAGAGACTTCATCCTCATCACATGCAACCTTGTCCCTTGCCAAGCAAAGGAGGAAAACCCTCCACAACTGCCTGTAAGAGATTTTCCCTAGTAAATGAGTTTCAGTCAAAGACTCAAACACAAAATCCCAAAGACCACCCAGAAATATAAGAAGATGGTCAGTGTTACAGTTTTTTTTAATTTTTTTATTTTTTTACAATTGCTAACAAGCATTTTCCAGTACTGAGTTTACTTTTTCTCCATCAGAGGATATCACTGCACACATGGTAACACTGGCACCCCTTTGGCCTGGGACACTGACTTTAACTCTTTTGCCAATCAAAATCTGTCCTCACCGGCGTATTTTGGCCAAGTCCACGTAGATAAAAACATGGGGTGTGTGATGACTTTCCAGCACCATGACCCTCTAAAAGATATCTCCCCTATGGGGGTTGGACGTTGGGTCCTAAAGAAGAAATACAAGACAATTGATGCCACCGTTGAGCGGGCCACATTTGGCTGCTCTCTGAGACCAGTGTCTTTCAATTATAGCCCATGGTTGATTACCTGGTTACCACAGTAGCCCTAATGTCATCAGAGACTACAGCTCTCAGTCATCTCTGCAGCTGTCTTACATCACCACACACCCAGAATCCTCTTCCTCTCTATACCAGTCTTTCTCTCCCTTGCAGGCTCCATTTTGAAGTGGAGGTGTAACAAAACACATTCCAAAGATGTCTCCTTTTATAGGTGGTAATGAGATCACTAGGTGAAAAGACCAGGGTAGAGTTGTAACTGAGATGGGAATGACCTGTCGTTGGTATCATTTACATAATTTCAATCAATACTATTTGTCTCCACAACCATCTTTTTTTAAAGATTTTGAATGTATTTCAATGGGGTTTGTAATTTGGCAAATAGCTGTTCATTTGAATGTATGTGCGGTTTTGAACTTAAATTAAATTGTACAACAGTTCACTATGGAAGCATTTGCAAAATTGGCTGTGGATGCACATGGTTTTTCTGGTGGTTGACGTTGAGTGAGAAAGGAATTCTTGAATTTTGAAAGCTGTGGTCATTGAATGTCTTTTGTGTTAAATCAATGCATTTTGTATTACAGCAAGGCAAGTCTCAGTTTGGTCCACGTAGACTTCTGTTGTGCTCACTGTGGTAAACTCAAAAAAAGTACACTCTGAAAACATAAAAAAAAGTAAACTCAGTACTGAAAAATGCTTGTTAGCAATTGTAAAAAAAAAACTGTAATAAACTGTTCCCAAGGTTGAATGAGGGTAAAGAAACTGTCCCTTAATTATAGCTTGGTCAAAGTGTGACATTGCCACGACGCTGGCCAGGGACTTGACTACATTTTGGTTTGATCACATCAGTAGGAACAAGTGTGCAGAATTATGAGTTGTTGTGTGTAAAAGATGACAGCTGTGTTGTAGCTGTGTTTAACTTTTGCTGCAAGTATTTACCATTTTGCAACACAAGTATGTTTTAGTGAGTGAGAATGTGTTTAGAGTTTTGCAAAAAGAGTGGATGAGATTTGCAAACAGTGTCTCAACTCCCTGAACTTGTGACTGATTCGACAGATGGGTTTAGGCCATTGAGCATTGGGTTCAGAGAATGGGGTTTAGTGTTTTAGCAGTTGTGAAAAACTGTAATAGACAGGGCTATATTGTCAGAAGTGTGTGTGTGTGTGATATGTTCAAACGCATCAGTTTAATGGACGATCAGACACAGTTTTCAGTGAGGAGCAGATTTATTCAATGTTACAACACTCACTAGAAAAAAAGTAAATCATTCTTAGATATGAACTTCAAACTGAATATTTGATCAAAGATCTCTGGAGAAACACAAGAATGGCAGTGATGTGTTCACTCTCCCATTATGAACCATCTAGGGCCTTCAAGTACCTGTTTTTCCTCACACCATGCTACAAAACAAAAGTTTAACAGGTTAGACTAAACCACGTACCCATCAGCACTCAGGGTTTCTCTGTCAGAAAACAACTCATGGTTGCTTTGTTACATGGCATAAAAGCTGTTGTCTGTCTCACAGTCTGTTTTAACATTGCATGCATCATAAGTTTTATAATTGCTATGTGAGGACAAACAGGTTCAACTGCATGGGAGATAAACACCAATACAGGCAATTCAGGGAAAACACATCATTTTTCCCTCTCAGGAAAAGGTGTCTGAAATCATGAAGTCATCGAGTCATGCTGCTTAGATGAGATTCTGATTTCCCTCCTCTCTTCCAACTGTCTCTGCTCTCTTTTCAACATTACTGCAGGTTGTGTCCCCCTACACACGCACACAGCATGTTGTTCTGACCGAGGTGGAAAGAAATTTTGAATGAACAATGAGAGCATTTGTTAATGTTCAACATAATTCACCTAATTAAGAGTTTTTCTATCCATTTAAAGGAACTATATGTAGGTTATACAATGAAATTACTTATTAATAAATAAAATTTACACTACCTTATTGTTAATGGGCTCAAAACTCACTTAGAAATGAAGCACACGCCTTTTTTCTCTGTTGCTTGAATCAGCCACTATTCTGTTTTTAATGTGAGGACACCGGGTCGGATTCAGCCCTGTGCCGCTCCCGAGCCTCTCAGATTACAGTGACAACACGGCAGCTAACGACATGCAGTCCACTAACACCATAAAACAACCGGCTCCCAGCAAAACACAGCTTCCATGTAAAGATACAAAACAACAATAAAGGTTTATGTGCTGAAGCCCATCAGACCAAACAAACATTCCAGACTATGTTTTAATTTAAACCTTCACTTTAGAAGGCGTTTAATGGCAAATGCCTTTATTCAGTTTATACTAACCAGAATGCAATCGTCTATTTATCACATCCCTTACATTACATTGTGGTTATCTAACGAGCTCTACTAAAACCACACTTTCTGTCGCTTAAGATTCTTTTTTTTTTCCTGAGGTGAAAAACAACATCAACAAACCAGGACAACAACAATAACTTGTGCCACAGTGGGAACAAATTCAGAAAATGCTTATTTTGTGGTGTCTCTGAAGATGATTCCACACTGCGCTATTTGTCACTATATCATTGTTCTGTCTTGAAGAGGACTCTACAGACCCAGTGGCTTCCATTCCACTTACAGATGAGATGGTTACTACTACTACTAACTTTATTTGTATTGCACTTAACAAAACCAAGTTACAAAGTGCTGTACAGTGAAACAAACATGATCCATACTTAAAAATGTAAATGAAAATAAAATAAAAAAATCAACAATAAAATCAGCATTAAAAAATACAACAGTAATAATATAATGTTTATAAAAAGGACATACGATAATAGTGAGATTTGAGAAGAGATTTAAAAGAGGCATGTCTCAGGCATCTAGACACTAAATCTTGCACAAGGAACAGTTTGTTTATTATGGAAGAACGGTTAAAATCTGTGTTGAATAATTGACAACAGAAAGCAAAATTTTTGTCCCACAAAAAATATCCAGTCACATATAATAAAATAAATTTATCTTGTATAGCGCTTTTCCATGTACTCAAAGACGCTTTACAGTGTGAACACAGGGTAAGATAGAAATTTATATTTAAAAAGGAATCATAAAATGAGGGGATGAGAAAGAAAGGGAGGGAAAGGAGAAGGGAATGGAAGTAGCCTACATGTTTAAAAGAAAAAGTTAAAGAAAGGTAGTTAAAAAAGAAATAGTGAAATGGAGGGATGGGTAGAGAAGGGAAGAGTTTAACTGGGGAATGCTAGCTTGAAAAGTTGGGTTTTGAGGCCCTGCTTGAATGATGGCAGGGTGGTAGATGATTAATGTAATCATTTACGTCCAGCTGGCTGCCATCACGTATTATCGTTGACTGCAAAAAGGTAACAGGTTTATTGTTGATCATGTAACGTTACACTGGTTTGAGAGTCTGGGGGTGTGTGTTAACTTACAGTAGTTCAAAAGCTGTGATTAGTTGTAGATGCATTGCACATTACAACGTTGTGCTCTGTAAGTGAAATACAGGTTACAGTTACAGAATCCCTTATAGCTATGCAGTGTTATAAGCAGCCTGGATTGAACGCAGCAGGTGACATTATAACCACGAGAGACTTGAGACTTGACTTGGCTTAGAGACTTGTGAGCATCTCTGTACTCTGTAATTATTTTTGAACACTTTGGGGCTCTGTGTTGGTACTAATCTCTAGACTCTGTTTTGTTTTTTGTAAATTAGAGAAGTAGGAATAAGTGAAATAATTAATGTATAAAATGGATAGCTTTGAACACTGCACTACAAAATTCATTGCTTTGAGAAAATGTTGTTAAATTCTGTATTGTAGAGACATTCTGTCTCCTTCAGGTTATTTTAAAAAAATGAATAAACATATCTGTGAATACAAGTTTCTTTGATTGTGTACACAGAGAGGAGCAAAATGAGCAGTTTCTGAGTGTTGTCTCATAAATGTACCTTCTTATAGTGAAAACCAAGTGAAAAACAAAACTTTCGTAGTCTGTGGGATCTGCTTGGCTGTCACATAACTCAAAGCCTCCCAACATGCCTGGTTCTAATTGGCATTCACACACACGGGCTTTGCTATCTAGATCTAGCACAGGGTGAAAAATGCAACCTGATCTCACAGAAATACATGAAATGAACACGACCTCCTCACGTATTTCTGTGAGATCAGGTTGGAAAAATGATACCAACAACCGTTCCCAGTTCTCCCACATCAAGGAACACTTTCATTTTTGTTTTTTTACAATATTATACGTTTTAGCTGTAAAGCCACATTTTACTTCCCACAGTATGCTCATTCTATTACTATGTACAATAAAGTGAAAACTGAGAAAAACAACTACAGGTGAGTATATGTGACATATTAATCACACTCAAACAAGAAAGCAGAGAAGATATGATTTTAATCCATCTATAATTTTATCATCCTGATTGTCATTTCTGTAATTTTACTATGTTGGTCTCTTCTGCATGCACATCTATTGTTTGTCTGTTTGTCCTGGAAGGGGTTAAAAGGGGAGGTTTTTTTTCTTATCTAAATCAAGGGTCCTAGGAAAGAGGGTGTCGCATGCTGTATGGATTGTAAAGCTGTGAAGTAAAATTATAGTGAGCTATTCAACTTATTGATGAAGAAGGCCTCAGGAAATCTCAGGATGTCTTAAGCAGGAATATTTACTGTAACTTGGCCGAGGAGAAAGACAAAAGCAGTACAGAGTAACAATACAGAACTACTGAAGATTCCCTCTTGGTCCACAATATGGATGTTAAGATCTAATGCTTACCATAGTCCTCCACTGGTTTTCACATCATAATTGCACACAAGGAGAAGGAGCACACACAAAGTATAGATATGCATTTAATAAAATGTTAATAAACTAATAAACATTTTTCACTGTGCTCCTAAATTTCTTTGTGTGCTCCTAATTTTTTTTTTATTTAGGAGTACATGTAATCCTCCTGGGATTAGCAGGTCACATTCTGAAGGGTAGACAATCTGTAAACATCTAGGAGTGAAGCAGAGCACCATATCTGTTGTCCTTGGCTTCTAGGCAATGGCTCATTACTTTTTACCCTGGTGTCGTGATTCACCCACAGAGAAAGACGGTAGTATAAACATTTTTTAGAGACTGAAGTCCTTCTATTTCTAAGTCTACGAGTGACCTAAATGTGACATGCATATAAACAGCACCTCACCTTTGACCCACATTGAGCACCTTTAGGAAAGTTCCCTCACAAGAGCCCCTTGAGGCAAATTTGTGATATTTGGCTAGATAAATAAAATCAACTTGACTTGACTCTCCGGACCTCAGAGTTCAGGACGGTAGCACCAAACACGGCTGCAGGTCAGACCGTAGTTCTCCTCTCTGACAGACTCAGGAAGCTCATACTGAGCCAGCTGACGCAGGAGTTGTCGGATGCCGTGTTCCTCAAACTGGGCCCTTCCAGGATCTCCGATCAGGACTTTGGTGCCGTGGGTTTTGACGCAGCGGTCCAACCAGCTGTGAAGGCTGGTGGCAAGGGCCTCATCATAGAACATGTCACCTAGCAGGATCAGGTCAAAGCAACTGGCTTGTGAACCAATCATGTTGTCAGTCAGACAAACAGGTGGCTCCAGACCATTCAGCTCAAAGTTCATCTGGGTCGCAACAGCTGCAACTGTAACACAAATAGGCACGTTCAGTACTTTATCTTGTATTGCATGCTTTAGGTACAGTCATATTACAGCATTTCACGTTTGCTTTAGCTCAATTTTCACAACAGAGTTTCAATTTTCAAAGCTCTTGACACAAATAGAGGAGTTAGGAGATTAAGCAGATTGTTGACACTGACCACCTGGCTTTCAACTGCATGTGACCAACCTTCAGTGCACTTTATTGACAATTTAAACACTTGGGGGACTACAGACATCATTTTAAGGACAGATGGAAATTGCCTAACAGGAGTCTGCTCCTCTCACCTTCTGGAGTTCACAGACCAGATGAAAGAGGCACTCAATGCAGGGAGATAATTTATCTCAGTCTCTTCCCCCCCGACTACATGTTCTCTTTGAGATAACAATCTCAGTGGCCACAAATGTTCAACCAGAGTTTATCACACAATGGTCATTTGGGCTTTCTCTTCCACATCCGCCCCCACTTGATCTTACAGATAATATTCAGTTGTAAAAGTACTAACGTAATTGATGCCCCCACTAAGGTAAAGGTGGAGAAATATCTTGCCGAGGCATCAAAAAACAAATCTCCAGTTGCGTTATGACATCTATAAAGAGTCAAGGCCAAGGAGAAAGACAAAAGCAGTACAGACTGACAGTACAGTACTACTGAAGATTCCCTCTTGGTCCACAATATGTATCCCTTTACAGTCCCCATGGAGTCCATGGGATACATGGCTATTCTCCTCTGGCCTAAATATGTGTTTTCTTCCATCTTATTGGATGTTAAGATCTAATGCTTACCATAGTCCTCCACTGGTTTTCACATTTTAATTGCACACAAGGAGCACACACAGTATAGATATGCATTTAATAAAATGTTAATAAACTCTTGAGTTACTGGAACACGGTGCTCCTAAATTTCTTTGTGTGCTCCTAATTTTTATTTTTATTTAGGAGTACATGTCCTCCTCCTGCATAAATGTGGATTCTTCCATCTTATTGGATGTTGAACTCAAAAAATTCACATTGGAATTAGCAGGTGACATTCTGAAGGGTAGATAATCTGTAACCATCTAGACTGAGGTCATTCTATTTCTAGGTCTACGAGTGACCTAAACGTGACATGCATTTAAACTGCACCTCACCTTTAACCCACATTGTGCACCTTCAGGAAAGTTCCCTCACAAGAGCCCCTTGAGGCAAATTTGTGATATTTGGCTATGCAGAGAAAATCAACTTGACTTGACTCTCCGGACCTCAGAGTTCAGGACATAACTTATCTCGATCTCTTCCCCCCGACTACATATTCTCTGAGATAACAATCTTAGTGGCCACAAATGTTCAACCAGAGTTTATCACACAACGGTCATTCAGGCTTTCTCTTCCACATCCGCCCCCACTTGATCCTACAGATAATTTCAGATGTAAAAGTACTAACGTAATTGATGCCATTGCCCCCCACTAAGGTAAAGGTAGTTTCTGGTCACAAAAGAGCACCCTGGAGAAATATCTTGCTGGTAAAAATTTTAAAAAGAGCCAGTCGAGAAACAAATCTCCAGTTGCGTTATGACATCTATAAAGAGTCTTCAAAATGAGAAACTCAAGGCCGTCCTTTGTGCTGAAAAAAGTAACAATGCAGGAGCCTTATTTGCTACTGTTGACAGGCTGACAACACCTCCCTGTGTCAGTAGCCCCAGAACTTTTATCCACCAAGTCATGCAATGAATCTGCCTCAAATTTCAGAAAATTTGACAAACTGTTTTTCCATATTAGGTATCGGTTCTGTAGAATCGGAATCAGAAGGAGCTTTATTGCCAAGTAGTGTTTTACACATACAAGGACTTTGCTTTGGTGTTAAGGTGCTACATGCAGACAAACATACAGCTGTCATAAATAGATGTAGAAATATATAAATATGTAATAAACAAGTTATATATGAATAACAGAAGAATAGAGAAAAATAATACAACTGACAATACAAAAAATAGAAATAATAATAAAAACAACAATGGAAAAACAACAATTTACAATTAACAACAAATTAACAACAAATATGTGCAATGTGCCAGATTCGTGCATGATATGACATGAAGTGATATTTGTGTGCATGTGCAGAGACAATTGTATTATTTGAGGGGAGGGAGTGTCAGTAGGGGGCCCGGGCCTTGTTGATGAGGCTAGCTGCAGACGGGTAGAAACTGTTTTTGTGGCGAGAATTCTTCAGCTGCCACAGGAAGTACATCCTCTGCTTGGCCTTCTTGGTGAGGGAGGTGATGTTCAGCTCCCACTTGAGGTCCTGGGAGATGATGGGCAGGAAGCGAAAGGAGTCCACAGTGGTGACTTGGGAGAAGGGGGGAAAGAACGCAGCCTTGAGGGGTGCTGATGGTCCTGGAGTCAGAGATATGTTTTCCCAGCTTCACGTGCTGCTTCCTGTCCGTCAAGAAGTCAGTGATCCACCTGCAGGTGGAGTCAGGCATGTTCAGCTGAGAGAGCTTGTCCTGCAGCAAGGCCAGGATGATAGTGTTGAAATCCACAAACAGGATCCTGACATAGGTTCCTGGGGAGTCCAGGTGCTGGACGATGTAGGGCCATGTTTACTGCATCATCTACAGACCTGTTGGCTCTGTAGGCAAACTGCAGGGGGTCCAGGAGTGGGTCTATGATGGATTTAAGGTGGGACAACACAAGGTGTTCAAAGGACTTCATAACCACAGAGGTCAGGGCGACGGGTCTGTAGTCGTTTAGTCCCGTGGTTCTTGGTTTTTTAGGGGTTTGGCTTCCACTTAAAACCAGTAAATCAGCATGACACAATTTGTTCCTATCAGCTATAAAACCTTGGAAGAAATTGGGCTACATCTGAATTGCTGCCTTGATATTCTACCTACAGGCTATTTCAAAAGTGTTTCTTCAAATGGTCAACACTCTTCTACTCTTAGGCTATGTTCTACAGGCACACAGTCACTCTTAATAACAAAATTCATTCATTAATAAAATTCACTGAAAGGGCTGATTTTCAACAACTGGAAACCTTGTTGCCCTTAAACAACTGTTTTGATGTTTTCCAGTCAGGATTTCGACCACATCTCAGCACAGAGACTGCTCTTGTTAAGGTCTAAATGCTGCATTTGACACGGTCAACACAACAACATATTACTAGACTGAGGCGTGGGTGAGACTTTCTGGCACCGTGCTAAACATGTTATAATCCTCAGCAACGTGTTTTGTTTTGCTTCTTAAGGCTCACAAAGTAAAATTACAAAAACACTCACAGGTTTGCTAAATAGACACTGTGTAGGTCATATGACCAGTACATTCCATTTTTTCTGACATTTTTCTCGTGTATATATAAACACACACGCACATAGTGTCTATGTAGCACACCTGTGAATGTTTTTGTAATTTCACTGTGTGTGCCTGAAGAAGCAATGGGCAAAACACGTTGCTCACAATAAATGCAGTAAAGTCAGATCAGTGTGCGGTAGTTTGTTTTTTGACTTTTTATAGCCTCATCCTGCTATCGACCAACACCTGGCTGTTGTTGCTGTGCTCAGGGAATTTCTTGTTTTATTTTATAATCCTATTTGAAGCACATGGACTACTGTGTATTGGTTGGTAATTGCTAATTAGTAATTACACATCTGAGTATATAAAAAAATGACGTGGACTACCCTGAGGCTGCATTCTCATCTACATGCTCCCTCTATTGCAGATTATGAAAAAAAAAAAATAACCCACCATGATTATGCAGAAGACACAGTGATTTATATAATAATATCACAGGTGACTATGGTCCCATAGCAGCACTGAGAAGGTGCATTAAACAAATCTATGATTAAATTTTCCCAAAAATTTTCAAATTTGAAGACTTTACTGATCCCTGGTAGGGAAATCAAGCGTTATTGCAGCACAAAAGATAGATAAGGTAAATATGTAAACAGAATAAAAATCGAGCAAAGGAACTAAAAAATGTTTACATAAAAAATAAAACAAAGACACGTGAGCAGCAATGTAGTATATGTGCAACAAAAGCTGTACAAAATGTCCAATACACATCGAGAGTTAATTACAGCACATTTTTGCAGAACGGCCATATATTTTGAACATATCTCTGTATGTGTTGGATGTGAGTATATAATGATTTGTCCATGTACTAAAATGCTTGGGAGTAAAATCATATAAAAATAATGTTAAAAAATGGTTCAAAATGATACTAGAAAAAAAGTAAAAAAGTAAATGAAGAGTCATAATCAAAGCGGCATACCGTTGTCAATGTCATTAGCAACTACATGAACAGCACCACATAGTTTTGCAGCGATGGTTGAGGCTCCACAGCCGCTCCCCAGATCCAGAACTGCCTTACCCCGACACACTCCGGGGTTATCCAAGAGGTATCTGCAGAGAGGTGGCAATAAAATCAGACTTAACTGCACTAACTCACACTGTCAAGCTGTTTATTTTCAGGCTAAGCTTTTACCTTGAGAGTGCTTGTCCTCCTGGCCAGTATATGGCCCAGTACGGGTCACCAAAAGGCCAGAGCTCCGGTCTTTCTCGCCAAAACCTGCAGTTTGTGGTGAACAGTCTCAGTTTGACCTCTGGAGTCAAGCTCTGCTCCCCAACTATCTCTGTGTGCTCTGAAATAAATCTCCGGATATATTCATCAGACTGGCAGCTGATTGAAAAACACCTATGGCTGTTTGCCTGTTTTGATACTCTGAAACATATTTTAACATAACGAGTAAATTTTGGGGGCGTTAAAAGTCTCCACATGTTCATCAAGTTATTGGACAACTGTAGCTGCTGAGCTAGCTGGCTAGCGTTCTAGCTAGTCCCGTTAGCCACATATCTGCTGTTTGAAGCGGATTTTCGTGTTTCTCACTGCAGCTAATAATCATGCGATGATGTCGGTAAAGAGCAACACATCTAAATATCACACATCTGACAGATAAAGAAGCACAGACTTGTTAAATATCAGTAAAGCTCCATCTGAGCGCATGTTGTTTTCCACACGAACACATAATAGTGGCGGACAAAGGTTCTATCGACCTCCTGAAACCGGGCCACACAATCTACGTTCCGCTCACAAAGGTTCCTACACAGACAGAAGGCCTAATGTGTTGTATTTTCAAAATATAGATTAATATCGGATTTTAATATAACGTGAATATAATCTGTTAACAGGCAACATTTTCCTGTATTTTCAGCAGTTCTTATTAACCGTAGCCAGTTACACATATCTTAAAGTTAGGATTGACATAATATAGCTACATTAATTTTTAGATTTTCACAAAAAGAGGATGATGTGTAATAAGTAACAAACTCTTTATCAGTGCAGTGTGACCAGTCAGCCAATTTTAGATAATTATAATTTGAGTTGATCAAATTCTGTCAGTCACAAACATTTTTGTCCAAATATTCACAAAACAAAAAAGAAGACACCCAAAACAAGACGCAGATTCGATCTAACCTGGGACTTCGACATGCGAAGACAAAAAAATAAAAAATAAAACAGAATACAATTTAAAAACTATTAAATTGCATTTAAGACAAACAAGGTTTTACATCAAACTGAAACACAACACAGGATTTGAGTGGTTGATAGTGAACATAAATCATGAAATTAAGAGTCTGCTGTAGGTTTAAAAATGTGAAGTGACACTGTGTGTGTGTGTGAGAGAGCTGATGGTTCACAGAGTCACAGTCATGCTAGATTAAGTTGATCCCATGGCAGGGGAGACTGGAGCCTGAGGCTGCAATTACAGCACCCCTTATGTTCTCACCCTGTGTAAAGATATTGCTTTTTGATGGAGGAGGTAGTGGAGTCTTAGAGGACGGTTTTCTTCCTGTCACTGAAGTAGCCCCAAGCTGACCCCTGTGGCTAGAGATCAGCCCACCCACAGATCTGCTCGGAGGTTGTTTTGGTACTTGTCTGTCAGGGCCAGCGAGTGTAGTGACTTGATTTAATATGGGAATTGCAGCATATGAGCCAGTGTGGCAGTGTGTTCACAGCCTGAGATCAGATACACACAGACCTGTGTCTTTTTCCAGGTTGTAATTCAGGCATCTTTTTTTATAGTGTCATGTATGATTTTCTTGTTGCACAGGCCTGAACTTTAACACACTTATAGCAATTTAAAGGTCTGAGCTGCTGAGACAGAAAGATGACTATTTTCTGAGATTTCAAGTAAGTAATGATTTAGGCTATGAAATAAATACTTAAATACTTTTTTATCCTTTGTATTACTTACCTTATGTATTTATTGTCCATTATAATCTTCAACTTTATTAATTAATTACTTCTTTTGTAAATGTATTAATTTATGTGTGCGTTTTAATATTTGTGTGTGTGGTGTTTTATTCTTCCTGTGTATTTTCTACCCTATTTATTTCCACAATGGTATTTATTTCTGCCTGTTCTTTTTACATTTCTCTATGCATTTCTGCCTCATTATGCAAATGAGGAGGGGCTGTGTCTCAAGGGGCAAACTTCTCGCCTATTGGTGGACCAGTCAGACCACAGAGGTTGATTCTATGCACATGTCAACAAGCTTGCTCCTCACACAGTCAGATGGCTTCCTTCAGTAAACTAAAGGTGTTTAGAAACTCTATTTGAAGACAATATTTTATGCCAAAAATGCTTAATTTCAAATCTTTATGTAGTCCGAGTTACCCTGAACTCAAATGTGATAGGCTAGTCATGATCAGGAATTATTTAATGTTGTCCCAGACCAAAATGAAAGGGAAAGTAATTTCCCTAACATTAGTGTTTTTTTCCCCACTTTTAATAGACACATGTATAGTATCCAATACTTTAGTCAGTGACCTTTGGGGAGGTGCTCTACGGGGAGAGCAGTGATTGGTGGTTATGTAGGGACTGAACCCTTCTATAGAATTTGACCTCTAACCCCTTGTTTTGTTACCTCAAGATAGTGTTGTACCCTTCTATGGGTTTGACCTTTTACTTTGCAGATTCAAATCCTTCTATGGTACCTAACAGATACCTAAACATGTCCTATATAAGCTGTGTTTGATGTACAGAGAGACAGAGTGGTCATCAGGCTGGGTCACTCTCCAAGCTGCTGCCGAGCTTGTAATTGATGCTGAACTCCTTGATTTAATAAACTTTTATGATCAAGAACAGTGTCAAGCGGGTTTCCTCTCAACAATGTAAAAAGAACAGAACAAGTACACTACAGATTTAGCTCCTACTAGCTGACCGTGTGTTTCTCACAAACAATGGCTCCCTTTACCACAATTCAGTGTCCATGCATGCCGCAAACTGAAGCATTGTCTGTCAGAGCGTACACACGAACACGATGATAGTATCGTCTTCAAATAGAGTTGCTAAACACCTCAATTCACTGAAGGAAGCCATCTGACTGTGAGGAGCAAGCTTGTTGATGTATGCATATACTCTGCCGTTTGACTGGTCCACCAATAGGGGAGAAGAAACAGGCCCTCCACATTTGCAAAATGAGGCAGAAATGCATAGAGAAATGAAAAAAAATAACAGGCAGAAATAAATAGGGTAGAAATGCAAAGGAAGAATAAAAAGACAAATATAATAAAAACACAAATAAATTAAAAAAAAGAAAAGAGCTGATAATGGATAAGGTTAATTATAAAGTGAATAAATAAAGAAGATAATTAAAAGATATATTTACATTTACGTCTCATTGTGTCATTTAATTACTGCCTACATTTATTTATTAACTTTATTTTTTGTGCATTTAATCGCATACTTATTTATTTATTAAGCATTTATTTATTTCTGTATGTATTTCTTCATCTGTCAGGATTTGCGGTGTGGAAGGGTGGTGGACCCCAACGCAGGACACAGAGCAGGGCCCTGTTTCAGAAAGCAGGTTCAGTGAAAACCCGAGCCCGAGATGAGGGAAACTCTGGGTTTGTCTGTAACCCTGGCAACTTGTGCTGTGAACCTAAATTGCTCCCTACCAGGTTTTGTTGGGCTAACCCCGAGTTTCTCATCTTTATCTGAAGCCTGCATAGGCTACTGAAAGTCAGAAATGGCGTGTCCTTTTCTTGAAGATCCTGTTGATTTGGAAGCTCAGATACTTCGCAGAAATCTCCGCCGGGAGAGGGTGATTAGACCCCGCTTGGACATATTATCATTCCCTGATAATTTTTTGTATGAGCGTTTCCGTTTTACATCACAGTCCATAATTTCTCTCAATATATTAAGCCCTCACATTTCTCACAGCACATCATGATCATGCTTTGAGTTCCAAACAAATTCTCTGTGCAGCACAGTTTTTTCACCAGTGGAAGTTTTTTGTTCAACAATGGTGACGCTGAGCATCTTTCAAAGGCAACCGTATGTCAGGCTGTGAGAAATGTGAGTCTTGCACTCAAGCGTTTACACATTTGTTGTCTTCCCAAGTCACAGACCCACAAGACTCAAAGAGGAATTCCACAGAATTGCAGGTAAGGCTATCTGTCTAGAGGAGTAATTATTGTATTTAATATGAAACATTGAGCTTGAATACTAATCATGTAATGATATATTTTAGGGTTTCTGGGTGTGATTGATTCTATCGATGGAACGCATATTCCCATTAAGACTCCTTCCATTAATGAAGGAGATTATGTGAAAAGGAAGTCTTTCCACAGCATTAATGTGCAGGTAGGCCTATATTCCAAACAATATTACTTTACAATACAAGTTCTTCCGCAAATTAATGTTCTGCCCTGTGAAGATCATCTGTGATGCAGCACGTCATCAGTAATGTGGAAGCGGCCAGGGTCTGTGCATGACTCCTGAATTTTTCGTGAGTCTACATTGAGCACTAGATTTGCTCGTGGTGAGTTTGAAATATATAGAGCTAGGCTATATCCCAATATAAGCAATATATTTTTTGTCCTATTTTGTAACTATCTTTGCATCATCATAGACAAGTTTGATGCTTACCTGCTGGGCGACAGTGCATACCCCTGCCAGCCCTATTTGCTCACCCTGATCCGGAGCCTGGCCCAAAGCAGCATTACAACTTTGCACACTGCAGAACAAGAGCCAGGGTTGAGATGACAATTGGGATGCTTAAGGCCCGGTTCCAGTGCCTTCGTGGGCTCAGAGTCACCCAGAAAGAGCCTGTGATATCATTGTAGCATGTGTGGTTCTCCACAACATTGCTATATTTAGAGGAGAACGTTGTCCTTCTCTACCAGAGAAGGATCCTGACCACCATCCTGACCTCCCCGCTGACACACGAGATGGAAGAGCAGTCCGAGATGCAATATGTTACAACCTTTCTGATCCATCACCACCAATGTGAAATAAAAATATACATGTGATTTTATGAAGTCTTCTTTAATTCCTGCAAATACGGTACAATAGCCTATTATTCAAATAAAAAGTAAAATAATCTACATGTGGGCACCTCACACACCTTTAACTGATGTTCCAGCAGTTGAATTTCCATTTTTGTTCTTTGCATTTGCAGACTTATGTGGTCCATTTCCAAATTAGAATTTTCAGTTTGTACACCTTGTACAGCTCTTTCACAGGGAGCTATAGGAGCACAGAAATAGCATTGAATTTTATAGTGTGTAATGGGAATTCCATGAGAACCATCTCCAAACACAGCCATGTAATTAATGTTACTTATTGGGGGGCCTCTGGTTTCTCGGGTATGGGGGTCAATGGAAGGTAAATGTGTGTGATGCTTTATGATGTGTCCAGGGGTAAGTTGTGCTCTGGACCTGGATGGACCCTCTTCATAATTTCCAGCATTGCTCTGCGTGAGAAGGTGTCTTCATCATCCTCCTGTAAGAACCACCAACTTTTGTCATCCAATGTTTTGGCTAAGGGGCCATCTCTTCGGCCTCTGAGTGGTGCTGGTGGTGGACCCCTACCCGCTTTTCGGGCCTCAGCCTTTTCTGTTGGCTGTAATTGAGTCACATTTCAGCACAAATTTGGAGACTTCTGTGGATTAAGGCATATAGCCGTTGCTTTCAAATACATAATATGAAAAACTGATAGTGTCAGGATAGCTGGAAAAAGTACTTTCTTGGCTTAGAAATGATCACACATTGAATGTAGCCTCTGAATGCTGTTTAATTTTGTAGGGTATGCCTATGCTCACAACTACTTGTAATGAAGTCATCTTACACATCTGAACAATATTTCATTTTCAGTTGCTGCCAAGTACATTTGGTGCCTGTTGGGTTTCACCAGCACAAATATGCAACATGCACATCAAATAAGTGTTATGAGTGGAACATGATAAAACATATTCTTTTAAATCAATTAATAGGCTACTCACGCATTGACTCTGTCAGCAATTTTCTGCCACGCCTGCTCACGCGCTTTTGACACTGTTACAGTATTGCTTTTTTATTTTATTTTATTTTTTAATATATGTGCTCATACTCTCCATATGCATTGATTAAAATTTCCAATTCTACCGCGGAGAAGTAGGAGGATCGGGGCCTTTTCTCTGCAGTTGTCATGATGACTCTTGTTATCTGCATTCCATTGAGGAGGGCTTTTTTATCCGCATGCACACGCGATATTCAGGGTTAATTGACCTCAGGAGTTGTCTGAACTAATTTTAAACACCTGTGCTGAAACCAGAAACTCAGGTTCAGGTTTACACTTAAGGTTCACCAGGTGAACCAGGTTCAATTCCAAAAAGGTTTATTAACCAAACTAAAATCGAGTAAACTTACAATGAGTGGCTGAGTCCAGGTAATCCAAAATAATAACAGTAAAAACAAACCAGGTGATCCAACAGAGAAATCCAAGAACGGGTGTAATCCAAAGGCCGGCACAGATCCAAACATGAAGAGAACTGAACATAAGGCACAGGCAACTGACACAAGAGAAGAAACATACAATAGACTAAAACCTAATCATACTGACAGACTACAGATGTAACAGGAAGAACGGACTGAACTAATAACAGAACACAGAGAAGACATGGGGCAAAAATAACAACCACACTAAGACATCAAACCAAAACCCAGACACAGAGAAACTAAAATCACAACACAGAGAACGCATGGCCAAAATAATATAACCTCACCTCAGGACAGGATCGTGACAGGATCCGTCCTCCATACTAATTACCATTCTGTGTGTAAAAGACAAGGCTGTGTAACCAAAGTACATACATTAAACCTTTTAAATGCAGTGTGACGGCCCTAGAAAATAATGATGTATGATAAGAGCATTACTGGCGGGCAATAGTCTAAGAAAATAAAGTAAAACAATTTGAGTCTTATACTGAACCCCCGATAACAATGTGGTTAATGAAGTACTAGGTCAAAATAAAGTCAACAAAATACTTTTAAAGAAAACGTGGTACCAAAATAGAGGTGGTGCCTGAGAGAACTAACAAGAATCAAATTACACCAGTAGAAACCACTTCCCTCACTTATAAATTAAAATGGCCATAATTATAATTAACACCAAGGATTGTGGTGCTGAGGGTGCAACTGGGTGTACACTTGACAAAGAGTTTGTTACGGTCAGCCGTGTATTTTATTCACTTTGGCTTGTATGTCGGATATTTCCATTCTCAGTTCCGAGCAGTCTGGAATTCTTCAACATTCTTATTCTTATTAACATGCATGGACGGGGAGCTGCTGCTGGGCTGAGATGACAGACCTTCCTGCTAACTGACTGTGGACACTACTGAAACCATATTCATACCCCATACTGTCATAACTTTAAATTACACAATTCTTAATGTCAGCAGACTTTAGATGGCCACGCAAATGAATGTCTCGTAAGACAGCAGGTATAAATAATTTTATAAAGTACATAACGGTCGGTCGGTCTTATCACAAATCATAATGCCGTTTCTTTGCATTTACCATACAGTGAAGTACATACATCAATAATATTTTTATTGTATCATTTCATATTTTTTGTTATAATTTTTATATTTGATATTTATAATCTGGAATGTTGCAGTGCTTTGCATTTGTTTTCAATTCCTCTTAAATAGTTTATTGTATGTTTGTGTATTGTATGTTATTGTATGTTTATGTTGTATTGTATGTTTGTACCATGCATTGTTTTTGTCACTCAAACACTTGCTCTTTTCACTTTAGACTGGTATTCGGTCAGATAATTGCCCATTACATATAACTTCAACTAAAAATTGCCTAATGTATTTATCACAATATGTAATTCTGTTCTTCACAGCAGGTGGCTTCTTTGTTGTTCTGCTGTCCATTGGCTGCTATGACCTAATGTTGACATGTCAAACTATTGCTGATTGTAATTCATTCCTTCCTGCATGTGCTTCACAATACATTTTTTAATGTGAAACTAGAAGTTTTGATGGTGTGATATGGGCTAGCTTATCACAACCAAAAACTGACTTCTCCCTAAAACTAGATCTCACAAAGTTTGACAAAAGGAGAGCAGTTCAGAAAATGAGGACTACTGTTGCATGATTTACTACATAACAAATGTAATGAAAATTAAGATTTAACCCTAGAGTTTGGGTTATCAATGACAATCTATTTTCCTATTTTGTAGTGTCTCTGAAAAATGCTGTGGAAGGGAATCCTAAAAGTAAATAGAAACAGCATGTTCATAAAAAGAGGTCGCAGCAGTGATGAAACTTTTTACTAAAACCTTATTGTTAAGGACAAACTAGCCACTATGGTTGAATGCAAGGCAAGCAATGAAACAGTGTAAGACTGCTGAACATCCTGCTAGTCAAGACTTTGTCAAGAATTGGGGCATAACATGAAAAAATAAAATAAATAAAAAGTCATAGATCTGGTTGCATACTTTTGTTGAAGCTGTTGGTTCCTGTTGAGGTTTGGCCCGTGCAATGAATGTTATTATCACAGATCACGGTTGAGCCAAAATAAAGAGCTGATTTTTATTCTTTTACCCATTCGAGCTTTATTATAACCTTCTGTTTTATTTTCATCAAGAGAAAATTACTGTCCTGTTATGTCAAAAATGAAAGGTTATTAAACTTGGCTGGAACCACCGTTTAATACAGCACTCAAAAACACATGAATTTGCTCTTTTGTAGCTAAACTAGTTTTCACCCTTCCAGTACAACATAACATAATTTTTAATAAAGAAAGTAGCTAACTAGCATTTGAGCACTTCATCACCAATGGAAAGATTCTGGATTTCATGTCCTCTGTAATAGTCTTATTCACAGGGATACTGTGGGTTGCACACTAATTAGCAAAAGGTAGCTGGTTCTCAGTTAAAGGATCAAACTTTAGCTCTTGAAGTTTTCAAATGCTATAGCTGTAAACTATAATGTTTTTTTTTTACTAAGGGTAAAGAGGAGGCCTGTTAGAGTGACTAGTGACTTAGATATGAGCCAGACTTTACTTAAGAATGAGGGAGATATTCTCTATAAATTATAGAAAGACTAAATTGAAGTTATTTGGACGCTGTTAACCCTTGTAGTTTTGTGTTTTTTGCTACCTACGAATTTTGCTACCAATATTCGATTCATCCATGCTGGAGTGTGAGTGTTGCTCCATGCTAGCTAAGAAGGAACTGAGAGGGAACTCTGTGTCATTATGTACCAGCCAACAATGGACATTTCTGTAATGCAGTCAACAAATAAAATGCATTCCCATAAAATATAGATTGAAGAAGCAAGTAGGCCTACATTGCAAAATTGAATGAAATCCTGTGGTCGTAATAACTGTTCAATATCATTTCAGAATATTTGGGGACAGAATCATTCCGAAGGTTTAGTAAAAGTTGATAATCCTGTTTTAGCAATTAATTACAAAAATAAAAAAAGGAACTTGCTGCTGAGCATTTTAGTCCTAATTTTATTTTATTTTTATGACTGCCTTGGTACTCCCTGTCTTATGAGCAGCCATTCATTTTAATGCAGTGTCAAGATTGAAAATGGTTAAGACAACCACTAAACCTGAGACTTTATATTTAGTTACAAAAGCATAATGTCAAATCATGTTTCAGTAGACTGCCTGGTTGAGATTTTTCTCGTAAGTATTATTAATTTTACCAATTTCTCCATGTCATAAACTCTGGAGTTTGAATATCAGATTATCCTTATTAGAAAAAGGGAACTTCATTATCTTATTATCTGACCTCGCTGAAGATGTCCATATAGCCACAGATGACGTGTGATTCAAAGCCTGTGTACGATTAAATTATGAGCATCAAATACAAAATAAGATAAAGATGAAGGTCCTTTAAAAGGCCTACTTCACCATTCCACGAAGGTCAGAAAAATTAACAAACACTACAGACAAACCTGAATTCCCCTAAGAGAAAGTTTAAATGAGTGCACACGTGTAATAAGACATTTTATATAACTGAAACCTGGATAAAGTACCTTTTGCTGCTATAATACGACCTTGAGTCCTTGATATTAGTGCATGCATCCAAGTTACTTCTGAATAACAGGTAAAACTGTACATGAATATTTTTGTGATATTTGTATCACAGAGAAATGTTTAAATATTAATAACACTGACGTTAAAATTTTCCATTTTTGAAATAAAAAAAAGAAAGTTGACAGGAGTTGACTTTAGTCACACCAGATGTCTCAGTAAGTCTGATTTAGTCAAGAAGAGTTGATCTATTGTCTGGCTAATTGCCTAGAGAGATAGGAGCCGGCTTTAGTCACGCCGGGTGTCTCAGGAAGCCTGGTGGCTACACTGAAGCTGGGTCTCAGGGCTTCACTGATAAAAATAGTTTCCTGTTTCGAAAACGAACTCTGTCTGATAAAACCAGATTGCTTTTTTAACGACCGGAGTCTGGGGTTATGGATAACTCTGGTCTACAAGACTACCTGAAGATGCTAATGACAGTTAAAACACACAAGTTTATGTGCCTGCTTGAGAAAACAGGGGGAGGGGTGGGTGGGTGGGTGGCTTGGGACGGAGCGAGGGAGGGGCTGTCAAAATTAGTTTGATGGAATGTATAGCATATTATCTCTCTGAGGAGGAAGCTTCATAATCAGGGTCCTCAAAGACCTGTATCAAACCCCCCCTAATGTTGTGTGAACTATTAATGTCCTCTTGGAAACCATGTACCCGCCCCCACAGTGTGGGAAATATGTTTCCCCTCCCCCACTATGCGGAAAATTACAAAGTTCTGGGGAATTATACTTTCCCCTCTGATGTTGCGTGAACAATTTGTCATAATGTGAGAACTTTCGGACTCAAAGGCAGACTCGGAACAGCTCATAGGGGTATCAAAGGATTTTATTGAGATGTGCAACAGAAGGCTGGATTGTATGTTTCAACAAGGGCAGGCAGGGTGTGAGCTTAGCTGAGCAGAGCGGAGCGTGGCGTTCAGCAGAGTCTCCAAAGGAAGAGTGATCCTGAGCACAGAGAAATACAAGTTAATCCAGGGAACACACAGAAAGCACATGAGTTGATGGCAGGCCTTGACACATGTTTCACATGTGGTTAACTGACAATGTGGAGAAGAATGGTGAGGAGGACTGGGGTTGATATGCTGCAGTAGCTTGATTAGTGGGATGAGGATCAGGTGTGTAGCTGGATCTTGGCTGCAGGAGCCAGAGAGTGTAGCCATGCCCACACAAACACAGACACAGAGACAGACAGGGAAGAAAGAAACAAAAGAATACAAGGTAGTGGGGAGATACTGCAGTACCACAACACAATCAGTGGTTATTGCACTACTCCAGAGTTTACAATTGTATGTTACAGTGACCTCAATATCTTCCAAAACAACCAAAACAAATGTGTGTAAAATGTTTTTTTTTTTTTTTATACGTTTACGTTTAAAACAGCACATTGAACCTGAAGAACATTGATTCATACAAAATGTCTACAAGACATTGAAAACATGATCATGTTCATTTTAAAAGTAATTAAATATGAAGCAAAATTATTAAATCATTTAATTAGAGACTTTAAACATGAATGTGGTCAAATTGACCTCAGAGATAATAGGAGGGTTATGCAGACTCTAACATAAAGTAATATTTATTATAAAGACCTGTCAGACACATAGGTCACATGGCATCAATCAGCCATCTTCAAATAAAATATCCTTGCTTGGAGAGGGTACCGGCAAGTAACCACAAACAAAGCAAAACAAGTTAACAAGATAAGACTTTACTGATACCTGGTGGGGAAATAAAGTGTTATCAGCACAAAAAACAGAGAAGATAAAGATGCAAAAAGAAAAAAACAGAGCAAAGAAAGTAAAATAATTAGGAGAACTATATTACAATAA